CTTGGTTCTACCTGACTTTGCACTATTCAGTGGGTTTTCAGTCCGATACCGAGTTCGCGCATGGAGTTGCGCACTATCGAGTCCGTGAATCTACATTCACATCCGTTTGAGATTGGAGAACAGGTGGAACGTTTCGAGCTCCGGTGCAGCCTACGGCAGAACGGAAAGCAGGAGTAGTCAATACTATTTCTTACGGTTGGTGGAAAGGAAGTATATCTTTTGTTGAAAAATCTCGCTTTCACCGACAATCCGACCAAGTTACCAGTCCAGATGCTGAAACAATTGATTCTTGCCCACGTGATTCCTGTTGATTTCCAACTTACTGAGAGGGCAAAATTCAATTCGGTGGTTCGTGCTGAGTCAATGCCCTGACGCGATCTCATCTTTTGGCTCAACAAACAGGCTTCCAAGTGTAATTATGGAGACAGACTGGAGAAGCAATTGTGTGATCGCATTATCGCGGGCATTAACAATACGAATCTCCAGAGAAAGTTGTTGGGAAAAATGATCTTACATTTTCCGAGGCTAGGGGGATATGTGAGCAGCATGATGATCTCACTGCAGCAACAACCCGTGAGTCGTCTACATTATTTCAGAGTAGTTCCCGAAGCAATAGACCCGGGATGCAGTCCAAAGCTCCTCATTATCAGCCAACCAATTACTCTGACCAACCCAACCCCAACCACGAATATCAATCGGTGTATGTCGTGCGGTCCATTTGCGTTCCAACTGTCGATTCCGCGATGCAAAGTGTCATTAATGTGGTAAAATTGGCCATATTCAGAAGGTATGCCACCAAAGGAAATGCAATATGATGGATACACCGTGCTGTTAAGAAGAAATCATCCCAAATTATACATTACGAACAATGGGCAAATACAAGCAGTTCATTCACAAGGATATTGTTTTTGAATCCGGAGTTGGACACAGTTTTATTGTGGATACCGGCAATGGTGAGTCCATCATTTCACGCGGAGCTCTCAAACTGTATACCCAAATGCTACCGTAAAACCGAACACAACACGAATCCATGGTGTAACTGGATGGCTGAGACAATTTTGTCGATTCAGTCCCAGGATAACAGTTGTGTGCCCATTCGATCCTTGGTGTCACAAGACAGTCCGTCTATTCTTGGATTGATGGCGATGCGAACGCTGGGACATTCCTTATCCCTACATACCAATAAACTGAAATCCGATACAACTGAGGAAATTCGAAAGCTGGTAATCCGATTTACTGAGAATGCGGGAGGAATGAGCGTTCCTGAGGCAGTTTTGGAGGTCGACGGTGAACCAGGTGTACCTTACCATATGAACAACGCGAAGGTGTGCTGCTGCGATCGACCGCATGGAGAAGACTGGTGTTATTTCCCGAGTGACGTCATCAACATGGGCAACTCCTATTGTTGTCGCGATGAAAAGTGATGGCAAACCTCCGAGGATATATAGTGATTACCGATTGACAATCAATCCCCGATTGCGAAAATGTGCAGCGACGAACATGGAGACAGAGGACTTCATGAAATCCCTACACGGTTGTCAGTTTTTCCCCTAAATCGATCTGGCCGATGCCTATCTTCAAATTCCATTACATCCAGATTCGCCGGCATTTACGACGATAAATACACCGTGGGGATAGTTCCAGTACAATTTACTCCCGTTTGGTTTGCATGTATCATCCGGAATCTTCCAGTCCACAATAGACCATGTTGTCTGGGTTACGCGGTGTTATGGCATATCAAGACGATATGATTGTGTTCGGAACAACGAAAGAAGCACATGATGACAATATAAAGAAACTTCTCGAACGATTCATGGAGAAAGATGTGCTCATCAAACCATCTAAGTGCATGTTTGGAACGAGGGAGTTGGAGTTCCTGGGATTCACCGTCTGTTTCAAAAAATATCGACCGGATCCCAACCGATGCAAACCTTTGGTGAATATCGAATCCCCGAAAGATCAAAATTCAGCGAGGCTGCTCACGAGCTATTCGACTTCATTTGTCGTGCATGAAAATCGTTAGACGTTT